ACCTCCCACTTTACTGTCCCTTCAGACAGGCAGGTAGCAGCACCTCCCACTTTACTGTCCCTTCAGACAGACAGGTAGCAGCACCTCTCACTTTACTGTCCCTTCAGACAGACAGGTAGCAGCACCTCCCACTTTACTGTCCCTTCAGACAGACAGGTAGCAGCACCTCCCACTTTACTGTCCCTTCAGACAGACAGGTAGCAGCACCTCCCACCTTACTGTCCCTTCAGATAGACAGGTAGCAGCACCTCCCACCTTGCTGTCCCTTCAGACAGACAGGTAGCAGCACCTCCCACCTTACTGTCCCATGTTTTCTTGGCTTGTTTGAAGCTGAGTGGTGATGAACAAATGACTAAGCGGCCAGGGCCTCGAGTTTACAGCTAATTAGCCGAAAGACAAAAACAAACATAGCCTAGTTAACTAAGATAGGCTACTAGCTAATTGATAAGTTAGCTCAAGGTTTAGCTAAGGCAATTTATCATGGGCATACAGGCTAATGTACTTTACTTAAGGGTAGACACTAAAGGTGAATACAGTAAAATGTGTATCTAATAACGTCATCACAATTACCATATTGCTATGCAAATTAGGCGTTAACTAGTACACTATAAAGTACTATCTAATTATTATCTAACTTAATTAAAATGGGCTAATTTGCATGCAGTTACCAAGGCATTGCAGGTTAAAAGGATAAAACAAAAAATCATATCACCTCACAACTTCCCCAGATAGTTACTTACGTCAAGTCAGTATTTTCCCCTGAAATGTTTAAATGCAGATTAGCTTTAAATCTATAGATACATTCAGACATGGTAATAAAACGAACACCATTTATATGTATTTTTTGGAAGTGTTCTTTCCATTAGATCAGGGGTGGGGAACCTTTTTCATCTCGAGGGCCATTTCAATTTTTTCAACATCCTCCGAGGGCCGTACAAATGATTGACCTCTGCTTAAAAGAACTAAAATCACAGCCCATTCATTTGGCCTTTCTTTCATGCTGTGCAAAGAAAAAGAAACCTCTCAATCCAGATATCTCACCATGACTCGCACATGCATGCACGTGCACGGTGTGGCATGACCACCACAACAGAAAGATATGGACACAAGATGTGTGCAAATGTATTTAGTTTCCTATCCATGTGGACATGATTTAAGTGGGGGGGGGGGGACCTAACCTCCTCTAGGGGGGGGGAAGATTTGTTTTTTTAAATGTTGAAGTTAAAGCATCAATCTGGGTGCACTTTGAGAGCAACATGAGGAGATCTATGGATACATCTCTCAACACCCATAGGAAACAAAACTGCAAAACAGATTTTATTGTATTTATGGATATTTTACAAATAACTTATTTTAAACTGTATTCTTGTTTATTAATAACACTTTTTTCACTGTCCCTATATAAATTGTATACCTGTAACTTTATTCTCTTATTTTTTACAACTAATGATCATATAAGATGTGCCTTTTACCTCACTGGTTGGAGAAAAAGCTTCTTATATTCGTTAGCATAGCTAGCTAACAGATGCTAATAACAGCACAGTGATTGACTGTATGATCAGTGTGACAGATGAACAGATCGCCACTGGGCTTTCAACTAAAGGCACAGCCACGCACAAACTGCGGCATGTGTAGGCTCCTTATCTGAAGTGCCGGAGCCGCGTTCTGGTGCTCTCCGTCACGTGAAGAGCAGCTGATTTGAAAAGAGAAAGTGGAGAGACGGCTGAGTGACAGCAGTGCAGAATCGCTGTAGCCTATAGTTTAAATCTCCTAACAATGTTGTCCATTTTAGACAAAGGCCTATTATATTTACAGCCCTTAATAACGTTCATTTTTCTGGGCTAAATATGTGTCTTGGCCGTTTTCGTTGTTATCGCTAAATTCACCTTGTTTATAATATTACCACCGTTCCAAGCAAACGAGGGCTTTTGTTTTGAAATCACTTCCGCGAGTTTCGCCCCGCCCCTCGCTCCAATGACCATTAGACCATTTATTAAGGTAAAACAACAAAAACAAAAAGGCCTCTCAGACGCTCTTCCGCTAACTTGTGTAATAAAGAAAAACAAATGGACCGTAGATACACGGATTAGGGCGACACCATCTGGTCACAACTTTAAATATTTGACCATGTTGTGTGCAAATGAACAACTCTCTCTGGTTCAGAACCTTTTTCCTTAAGTGAGACTCTTTTCTTTTCTAACTTTATGGGTATTTGACTTTATATTAAATACATCACAATAAGAGTGCAGAACATCTAGTTTTTTTCTAGCTCTATCCCTGATCATTTTCAGAACCTGAAGGCTCTATGCGGACTATCTTCTGGTTCTCCTCTGGATCCATCCACTATCTCTTATCTCTGTCCAATCAATTACACTTGTGTTACTGGAGCAGGTAAAGCATACAACAGATACTTTCAGCCTTATCGGAGCACGCAGTGGAAGCTTGGATGAAACACAGCGGACTTCTAAACAATGAACACCCGCAACTTGGAAGAAATAAAGTTGGATTTTAATGCGTTCTAATATTGCAATGAAAACCCATGATATAATGACAGTAATTCAGAATAATTGAGTCATTGAATGCTGATTTCAGTCGATTTAATCAAACAAAACGTAGACATATTGGACATGGCCTCAAGACTGTAACCTCTTCACATTCTGTTGAAATAGTCAATTACTAGCCTTATCTCAAACATTGCTGTTTTGAATCTCTAATATGTGGATGACAGTTGAACTGCATGATGTAACATTTATTTATTTGACTTTTGCAAGGCGAGGCGAGGCGAGGCAAGGCAAGGCAAGGCAAAAAAAAAGAAAGACATTAAGAAAATGCCATTTAACATCAGTCATTAAAAAGAAAAGCTAATAAAATAAACATTAAAAGAAAAAATACATGGATAAAAGTTACAGTGCAGTTTAAGATATTAATTGTTCAATTAAAAGCAGCGACAAAAAGAAAAGTCTTCAGCCTGCATTTAGTAGTAGTCAGAGTTGCAGCGGACCTGCAGGTTTCTGGGAGTTTGTTCCAGAGATTTGGAGCATAATAACTGAACGCTGCTTCTCCAGGTTTAGTTCTGACTCTGGGGACAGAAAGCTGACCAGTCCCTGAAGACCTGAGAGATCTGGATGGTTCATAATTTAGCAGGAGGTCAGAAATGTATTTTGGGCCTAAACCATTCAGTGCTTTATAAAACCAGCATCACAGTATTAGAAATCTATTCTTTGACACACAGGAAGCCAGTGTAAAGACTTCAGAACTGGAGTGATGTGATCCACTTTCTTAGTGTCAGTGAGGACTCGAGCAGCAGCGTTCTGAATCAGCTGCAGCTTCCTAATAGATTTTTTAGTGAGACCTGTGAAGACACCATTGCAGTAGTCGAGTCTACTGAAGATAAAAGCATGGACAAGTTTTTTCCAAATCCTGCTGTGACATTAGTCTTTTAATCCTAGATATGTTCTTTAGGTGATCGTAGGCTGATTTAGTAACTGTTTTAATGTGACTGTTGAAACTCAGGTCAGAGTCCATGACTACACCTAGATTTCTGGCTTTATCTGTTGTTTTGAACATTGCAGACTGAAGCTCAGCGCTAACTTTTTATACGTTCTGCCTTGGCTCCAAAAACCATTACCTCAGTTTTATCTTTGTTTAATTGGAGAAAGTTCTGACACATCCAGTCATTGATTTGTTCAATGCACTTACTCAGTGTTTGAATTGGAACATAGTCTCCTGGTGAAATTGTTACGTACATTTGTGTGTCATCTGCATAGCTATGGTAACTTATTTTGTTGTTTTTCATTATCTGAGCCAGTGGTAGCATGTAGATGTTAAAGAGAAGAGGCCCCAAGATGGAGCCTTGAGGAACCCCACATGTCATATTTGTCAACTCAGATGTGTATTTACCTATAGAAACAAAGTTGTATCTGTCCTTTAAATAGGATTCAAACCAATTTAGAACTGTTTCCGAAAGTCCCCACCCAGTTTTCCAGTCGGGTCTAGTAATATGTTGTGGTCAACAGTGTCAAACGCAGCACTGAGATCTAATAATACATTGTAGAGGAAACTTCTGTGTAGCATGCAGTGGAGTCACCGACTCAGGAAGGAGACACGGGAAGAGTCGGAGCTTTGATGTCAAACCACTGTGATTTATTTGGAGTTGGTACCAGAGTATTCACATCACAAATCCAAGAGTCAGAGGTTCTGACTCCACGGTAGAGTTGCCACGTCAATTCTGGAGAGCCTCTCTCTTGCCAGCCCATCTAACTGGTTTCGCAGAGAGTAAACAACATATTTGAGGAGATAGCCTAAACAGTGTGGGAACACAGAGCTACTTGCCTCGGACACTTATGACCTCGAAGATTTTACCTTGGAGTCCACAAATACAGAGAAGGAAGTGTCCCAGTGTACCCACAACACAGACCATCTGTATCCCAGTATTGACCGGTCACAGAATGGGAACAATAACATTATTGGCTAAGCCGCCTGTGTCCTTAAAGAAGGTAAACAGACATCGAGGTTTGTCCTGTATGTTACTAATTGGCGTCTTATGATAATTATTTCCACAACAGTCCTCTCTTTTTATCATTTATGATAACCTAAAAACATTAGTCTAATAATAATTTGGTCAATAATTAACTCAATAGGCGTCTCCAGGTTCGAGTGTGGTCTCACCTTACATTCAATTATATCACAAAGTGGAATAAGATTGAAACATTCAATCACAATGATTGATACAGCCAATCATAATAGGAAAAATCATCTCTCATCAGTGTTTGATCATCTTTTGTCAAAAGCATAATAATGAACACACATAAAACACAGGTGCACAATGGCTAAATATTTGTTTTAAACTAATATCTTTTATCATTTACCATTAGTTAATTTCATTCATCAAACTATAAAATCAAAACCAGCTTGCCGCTTTAAAGATTTACTTGAAGGCAATCACTAGTCAAAAGCATTTTAAAACTCAGGATCGTAAGAGATCCAGCTAAAAATTCACAGTTAGAGTATAGAATTCACAATGGTGATTTGATCAATCTGTGATCTGCAAAAGTGCAGTGTCCTCAATTTTAGGATTATCTTAAGAGTCAGGCACTTAATTTTAGTAATATCAATACATTCAAAATCTGAAAAGGAAAAGTCAGACATGTATTGTGTAGTGTAACAACCTGAAAAGGAAAAAATCAACTTTAATCAGTTTTAATTAATTGGCCATTCGTTGTAAGGGGGAACCCATGGTTCGGGTGCCACGGTAGAGACCCACGGGTCGGGAAGCTCGACGTCGTACATCATCACGGTGTCATCAATGGTGTCGTACCCCACCAGTGTCTGTGGGGCCTGGAGGGCGGTTTTGACAACCTTTTGCATGACTAGTTTAACAACAGTGACTAGGCACATTATCAGGATTAGTACAGCTAAGATAAACAGTGAAATGGTAATGGCAAGTTTACCCAATCCCGCTCCCCATGACCCAAATATTCCAGATAAATCCCCAAATGCAAACCCATGAGTTTCGTGCAATTCTTTTATTCCCCTAGCAGTATCATGAGCCATATCCATGACCTCAGGTGTAGCATCAGAGATGAAAGAACAACACTCAGAGCCAATCACCTTGCACGTGCCCCCCTGTGCTGCTAGCAGAAGATCCAGTGCCATGCGATTCTGTAATGCCACTGTTCTAACTTCCTGCAGTTCTTTGTGTTCAGCCAACATGGCTCTGTTGGATACATTGAGGTGGTTTTCCACTATTTTGGAGAGAGCTATGATTTCCTGCTGGGAAACATAAATGCCGTACCAGGGCAGGACAGCGCTAGCCAGCTGCTGACCTGTTGTGATGGTCCTACGATTTCTGTGTAGGGAGGGGAGTATTGCTGCAATCTCATCAATCTCTACTTTACGGATCAAAGGGATTAGATAGGCTAGATAACAGGTGCCATCAAAAGTGTCATAAGGCATGCAACTGTAGGCTCTGTCTCCACAGACCAAGTAAACTCTCTCTGGGAGGGGAGTACTGGTTAGTTTGACCTTTATTACGGTGTTACAGTCGCTGTGGCCCACATCGTGAGAGGGTAGAAACCCTCCTCCGTTCTGAAAGCAGATAGACACATTCTTCCACTCATGCACCACAACTGGGGGAATATAAACTGAACAGTCACGTGTAGGGGACTTACCTAGGGGTAATGGCAGCGAGCAGTCATGTATTTTAACTTTAATCGAGTCCACTGTTCGGGACCCAAACCAGGGTACCACTGTTACTAAGGCTTCAACCAACAAAGATGGTGTGTGTGGTTGAGGTGAACATGTTGGTCCCGTATAGTTAATTGAACAATTAGTCTGGACTAGAGCTAATTGGAATCTGTATTCAAAAACTAGGTTTAAGTACTTCTTCACATATATAAATTTTAGGACCATTACTCGCTTGAAACCGTCTGGTAGGTAATCCTTATTTATTGTGTCAACAATGAGCGAGATTAAGCCCTTGTACCTTAAAGGTTGCTTGGAGTCTATGGGGTAAGAAGGGATGTAACAATCATCGGTCTCATCGCTAATTCGGGATGCTATATCATTCCAGCTAACTAAACTGTAGTCAGGTTTTGTGAAAGGAATTGGGCTGAACATGGGAGAGTGCATGGACTCTGGCATATTTTGGCACAGCCAACAGTTGCTAACATTGCGTTCATGTGCATAATCTATCATTAGATTTATTGCAGAATTAGAATGGGTTTTAGTTTGTTTAGGTGGAGTGATATGGGCACTCTTTAAAGAATCTACATCACTTCCTGGTGACTTAATTACAGCTGGACCTGGTTCCATATTTGAGCATCTAGTGACCCCTGTACTGGGATCTCTGTAATTGGGTGTCCATGTGGTACACATAGGATCATTCTTTAACTGTTCTTTAGTGAAACACCACATTTCTGGGGGTACATTTGCAATGGTGTTGAGTGTTATTCTTACCATCCGCTGCGAGACCTGGAACCGCTGGTACCCCGTCTCTGGATAGACGTTCCACGCCCATAAGCCTTTGCTTGAAAACACAGGAAACACAACAACACAGTCATGTGAGTTACAGTGTGTAGTCGGACATTCAAAGGAAATATTCTGTAATCCTGTTTTGGGAATGTCAAGAGCAGGGAGAGGGAGTAGCCTTATCTCGGGGCCCACTTTCCTCTTTTTTCTCCCTCTTTTTCTAAATGTTTGTGTGATGGTGGGAAACAACCTGATTTTGTTGCTAGGCAATGGTGTGCCCGTTGATGTGGTTTGGCCTTCAGGGTCTGGGCCCTGGATAGCCAAACTGCCTGCGCCCTTGGATAAGAGCACCTTATATTCACCTTCTGAGGGGCGAGAGCCCTCGCCACCTGTCATCGGGATTGGTTCCGCCTCATCTGGCGGGGATTCCTTGGCCAGGTATAGTAGACCCAGACCAAGGAGTATGAGGACATTCATCACACGCCAGCACCCTGACCCTCCCCTCTGATCGGCGGAGGAGACAGGCGGCATCGAGAAGCGTGGATCCACTCTGTCCTGCCTTGAACCTTTAGGGCTGTTCTGGTCACTATTAACACCTGGAAAGGACCTTTCCACCTGGGAGACAGAGCATCTTTTTCAAGAGACTTGATTAGCACATTATCACCAATCTCAAAAGGGTGGGTTGGCTCCTCTCCAGGTTGAGGGAGCCTGTCAGCCACCTGTCTGTGAAACTTTCTCAACATGTCAGTCAAATATTTTACATAGTTAGTCATGTAATCATCTGTCCATAACAGAGTAAGCTTATGGGGTGTCACTGGGGGACTGGACCCTGTGGACATTACCCTTCCCATCAATACTTCGTGGGGGCTAAGCCCTGTCGTAGCATTCGGTGTGTTTCTGATGGAACACAGGACTAGTGGTAGTGCATCTACCCATTTCAATCCTGTGGTCAACATTGTCTTGGTGAGTTTCTCCTTTATGGTCAAGTTCATTCTCTCAACCTGGCCTGAGCTCTGTGGGTGATAGGGAACGTGCAACTGCCATCTGAACCCTAACACTGTAGCTAGACTCTGGGTTATCTTAGAGACGAATGCTGGACCTCTGTCACTGTTAATCCCTGCTGGAACACCAAATCTAGGGATAACATCTTTGAGAAGACACTTTACAACTGTTCTAGCGTCTTCTTTTCTGGTTGGGTAAGCCTCTACCCATTTGGAGAACTGGCACACTATTACCAAGAGATACTTGCAACCTTGGCATGGTGGCATGTGTGAGAAGTCGATTTGCATATTTACAAAGGGCCCCGACGGGGGTACCAAGTGTTCGTGTTGGACTGGGCCACTTTTCTTTCTTGTCTGCTGGCATGTCATGCATCTATCTACTAGGGCCTGTGTCGCTAGTGTGATGCCTGGGGCAAACCATTGTGATTGTATAATCCCATTCATCCCTCCTTTTCCTACATGTGTAGAGCCATGAGCAACATGTGCCAAAACATGGAGGAACGAGCGGGGGCAGACCATTCTGCCATCTGGGTGGAGCCACAAGCGGGACTCTGCGTCAAGTGTACAACTTCTGCGCAGCCATAAGTCTTTCTCCCTAGCATCAGCGCGGGCTTGCATGTCCGCGACATCATTAAAGGAAGGCAAACAAATGGGTTCTGCAGGTTGTGTGGAGGGACATTGGAGCACCATGGAGGAAGAGGAAATGGCCGCTTGTTTAGCCGCGGTGTCGGCTAACGCATTTCCGCGTGCAATAGGATCATCAGAATTTGTGTGAGCAGCACATTTAACTACTGCTAGCTGTGCAGGGAGCAAGATAGCGTCTAACAGTTGAGCCACTAACGCATGATGTTGAATAGGCTTACCAGCCGATGTTAAGAAACCGCGCATTTTCCACAGGACTCCAAAATCGTGGCATACCCCGAAAGCATACCTGGAGTCTGTGAAAATGGTCGCAACTTTATCTTTAGCCAAAATGCACGCTCTAAGTAGAGCATACAACTCTGCCGCCTGAGCCGACGTGCCATTGGGCAACGCTCGGCTTTCTAAGACTTCCCAGTCGTTCACAACAGCATAGCCAGCTAAGCGTAATGTGTCAGACGGTCTGCAGGCAGACCCGTCTGTGTACAGAATCATATCTGAATTTGGGATTGGAGTTTGCAACATATCAGTTCTGGGCGAAGAAGACAGATCAATGGTTGTGATGCAGTCATGTGTTAGATCAAAGTCTGGTATTGGGACCAGTGTGGCTGGGTTCAGAGGAGGGGAGCGCCTGAGAGTGATGTGCGGGCTTGAAAGAATGACCGCCTCATAACCAGAGCGCCTTGCTGCTGTCATATGCTGAGTAGCAGAGGTGTTCAGAATATGCAAAACTGCATGTGGGACATGTACTACACAGTCACTGGCCAGTACAATGGGAGAGGATTGCTTGATAACCATTGCAACTGCGGCCACTGCTCGCAGGCATGAAGGCATACCAAGTACCACAGGGGAAAGTCGAGACGAATAATACGCCACAGGCCGAAAATTAGAGCCATGCTTCTGTACCAAGATGCCCGTTGCAAAGCCCCCCCTTTCATGGACGTGTAGATGAAAAGGTTGATGGTAATCAGGGAGACCCAGGGCCGGAGCCGATGTGAGGGCCTGCTTTAAGTCCTGAAAAGCTGTGTGCATGTCCTCAGACCAGTGAACAATGTTCGGGGCGGCCTGCAGAGTGGCAGCACGCAGGACGGAGTCCATAGCAGCGTACTCGTATATCCAATGTCTGCAGTAGTTTGCCATGCCCAAGAAGGAAAGCATCTCCTTCTTTGTGCGCGGTGGTGGCACTTTGTTCAAAAGGCAGACTCTCGCAGGTGAGAGGAGGCGGTGTCCATCTCTCAGAATGTGACCCAAATACGTGACCTCAGTCTGGCAGTATTGCAACTTGGCCAGGGATGCTCTGTGTCCGCATTCAGAAAGTCTTTTCATGAGCAAAATGGAGTCGATGCGACAGGCGTCTTTGTTAGGGGATGCTATCAACAGGTCATCAGCGTACTGAAGGAGGGTGCTACCCCCTGTAAGGACCAAAGTGTCCAGGTCTCTTTTAACAGCTGCGGCGTACACAGTGGGTGATTCAACAAACCCCTGCGGGAGGCGTGTGTATGTGATCTGTTTACCTTTGAAAGTGAACGCAAACAGATACTGGCTTTCTGGATGCAAAGGTATAGAGAAAAATGCTGAACAAAGATCAATGACTGTGTAGTATGTGCTGTCTGGAGGCAAAGAAGCAAGGATTGAATTGGTGTCAGGCACAATGGGTGCTGTGGGAATGACAATAGCATTAATAGCTTGCAAATCTTGGACAAAACGCCACTCATCAGGGCGATTGTGCTTTGGGATTGGCAAAATTGGTGTATTGCAGGGACTGGAGGTGTAAACCAGGACCCCCTGAGCGAGTAGCGACTCTATTACCCCTGTAATGCCCAAAATGGCTTTTTGGGGTAAGTTGTACTGTCTGATCGCTGGCAATCTGGCATTTGCTTTAAGGGTCACTCTGTGAGGGGGTGCAGACTTTACAAACCCCACATGGTTCTTGTGTTTCGCCCATAAGGTGGCTGGGACCTCTGAGAAATCTGAAGGGGGGCCATACTCTGTGGGGAGGGGTGGTTGAAAGTGAGAAAATGTGCTTTGGGGGAGACACATGGGCTTAGGGAGACGTAGCATGTAATGTTCCTCCCCTAGGTTGATCAGATTAGGTGTGTGTGTGCGTGGCAGAGAAGCTGTTGCAACTTCTAGCCGGGCCTGGCAGTGGGCTGCCATGACCCCCACCTCCTCAGGACTACTGCCTGTAGTGACAGCTAGTGTGACGTGTGGGGCAGTTTCTACAACATAAAAGCCCTGTTGTAAGGGTGTGAGCCTAATAGGCAATGCGCACCCCTGTGGACCTATAAATAGAAACTGTTCACATTCCAACCGAGCTGAGCTATTGCAATAACTCCTCACTGACAGTGCATACTCATTTGATGGGTTAAATGCAGCTGTGCAGTGACAATGTAACACAGGCCTCATAGATGACATCATAGAGGCACATGCTGGGGAAATGCTAGCAATGTTTTGAATTCCCTCTGTGGAAAAAATGGAAAGCATTTGGAAATCTGGAAATGTCCAACAATAAAGATTGTTTAGAGATGATTGTATGAATTGAACAGCCTGATATACTCTGCTGTCTGGTATTGTCAAATACAGTCCGTCTGGTGTGCAATGTATGGTTGCTTGTAGCTTACACAGTAGGTCTCTGCCCATCAGGTTAATTGGGCTGCCCTCTGAGATAATGAAAGAGTGTTGCACCTGTGATCCATCAACGGAAATATTAGTTCTCTCTGAAATAGGCTCTGCTATTGGAACGCCGGAAACGCCTACAGTGGTAACAAAACTGTTAGTTGCTTTACACACCTTCTCTTTTGTTCGTACAGCTGATAATGTTGCACCACTGTCAACCAAAATGTCAACAGTTGTGCCATTAACCTCAACCGGCATCATTGGATCTTCGCGGGGGTTAGTGGAAAGGCGAATAGTTGCTGCTTGAATGTGGATTTTTTGTGTTATTGACCCTATTCCTCCATGGCCTCCCTATTGTTCATTATAGCCACCCTGTGCTGCTGCATACTGCCCCTGCTGGGCCTGCCTGTCATAGGGTGGAAAGTGGCTGCTGGACATAGGTGGGGGAGGCGGCAGTGTGGGCTGCAGGGGTGGGGGCAGAGCAGGCAAATTGTGTGTGTGCTGCTGTGCCCCCCACCTCTTAGGACATTTCCCTGCCCAGTGCTCAGTGCTCCCGCATACGTGGCAGTGCATTGTTTTTTTTTGGTTTTTGTTTTGCTGCTGCCTGTTCTTGTTTTGATAACCTTGTGACTGTCCTTGGTTCTGATATTGTGGTGTGCTGTTTTGTCCCTGAGTCTGCTGGTAGTTACTCTGACCTTGATAAGCCTGTGTGCTTCCCTGTTGCAGCACCTGTGCCGTTCGGGGAATCAGAAAAATCTGGCTTCTGTGTAGGGCCCGCATGGTGGCAATAGTAACTTTCCAGGTTTTCATCTGCCAATCGGGGGTGGCTAACATGTAAGCTTGAGCTGTCTCCGGGATAAGGTTATGCAATAAGCTCTGTACTGCAAACAAATCATTGATCTCTCTTTTAATGCCTGCATTGTTGTCCCACACCGTTATGAATCTCTGGATAAAGTCTGGCACTGTTTCTGTAGGGCTCTGGATGCAAGCCATCACTTGGGAAAAGTCAGTGTGAGTTTTAGCACAAGCTTTGATAGCCCTAGCTCCGTCAGTTTCTAACCACTGAGTGAGGGACTGTGTTACAGGCCAATCTCCTGCGTTTGTGCACACTGGAAATTTAAACTCATCTTTGCATGTTGGCCATTCGGCTTTGTATGTGAGGACGATCAGCTGTTTAACATCATGCACCAAACAGTTATAGACCATACACACATTAGTCAGCCATGACAGATATTCATCTGGGCTCTTAGTGGGGTTGGGCGCGTGTCTTGTGACATCGATAACCTCTGAGGGAGTCCATGGTTTAAATACCGGGACTTCTCCTATCAGGATTTTCGGGGCATTGTGTGTTTCACTGGAGGCTGCGGCTTGTTGTGCTTCCTGCGCTGTATTATGTACCTCTTGCTCTTGCGCAGCCTGTGACGCCTTTCTTGTGATCATTTTTCCCCTGAGTGCCGCTATCTCCTTAGCTGTGAATTGGCGCGGTGTGTGCTCTAAACTGAGCGGAGGAGGAGGGGGAGGAGAAGGAGGAGGGGGAGGAGGAGTAGAAGAAGAAGAAGGGGGAGGGGGGCTTTGCTCTGGAACTGTCCCTGTCTCTGCTGAAGACTGGCCACCTGAATAACCAGAAGCCTCACCTCCGCCCCTGTGATCTGCCATTTCCTGTAAACCTGCGTTTCGCTCTGTGTGTGCGTCATGTATTTCTTGCTCCCTTTCCCTCTTCACTTCTATCTGTCTGATGTTTATGATAGCTGCAACTGCCTCCAACAAGTCGTTATCTGAGTTTCTGGCAATATGATTTATTTCTTTTGTCTCTGTGGTGGGGATTACTTTGGGGCAGAGAGTTACAGTGTGCTCCTTGATAATGCTCTGTGTTAGTTGGACCCCTGCGTCTGTCAAGATGCTAATCACTTGGGACGGGAGGGGCTCTTTTCCTTGGCGCCTAACCCAGTCTGACATTATAGCTTTAGCTACGGCCGCTACATCGTTGCCATGTCTCTCTTTTATTCTGGACATGATATCTGCTCTGATGTCAAACGCGGTTTGTAAACTGAGTAAGTGACAACCTGCAACACATTTGGAAACATTATCAAGCAGTCTTCTGAGTTCACTAGAGCCCCATTCACATCCACCTTCACTTTCACTCCTTTTTCCCACAGACATCCACGCTTTCACGCTTTTTTTCATGTACCCTTTGTCCCAAGCTGGGTTAGGATCATCATCAATAATCTGAGAAGCCTGTCGCAGCACACTCATATCAAAAGTGCCTGTGTATGGCCAGTCAAACGGGATCCTCCCTCTCTGGTTGTTCTGTTGTGAAAATTCGCACATCAATGCCGTAAAAGGCATCACATGATTCCAGCCTACAGCTCTGCCGACCATCCCAGACGGCATATTTGGGGAAAACATGTGTGTGTAGTTCTGTTTGTCTGTTGCGAATTTTGGTAGGTGTGATGTTTGTTTATCGTATGTTTGAGTTTTAGTTTTAACCACCGGCTCAGGTGTGGACAGATGATTACCCATGTTTGTGGTTAGTATTTGAAGATCAACACTGCAATTTGGACAAACAAACATGAGCTCACTAATAAACGCCAGGGCGACAGCAAAGCTCTTCAACTCAATATTAGTCCGGTTTTAAGAGAGATCTTAGAGGGGGTGAGGAATTATCTCCGGTGGACGTCTGCTCACGTCTACCCTTGTATACAAGTGATTTATCGGTGCTTGAAAGCCGTCCAAGAGCGATAACTAAGCTTATCCTCTTGTGACAACCACTAGGCTATCTGTTTCTAGTGGCGCTGTGCCCCCCCGATCGGAGCCCACAGACTTTTTCCTTGCCCTTTCTCTCCAAACAACAGCTCAGTTGACTGTAGTCCGTACGACCAGCCTATATCTACTCGCCATCGAGTTCACCTCAAGGTGAAACACAGTTTGCCTATGCTTGCTTGCCACTACACACCTCTGATCAATTAGCCTATAATTGTATGTATGCACTCCTGACCGCCACCTGCTCCAGAGAGCCGTAGCGCATCGGGTGATGCACGCACTTCGCGCTGGCCCGTCTAACCATGAGAAAAACGGTCCTAAACAACGAGTGCTTTTAGACCGTCCCGTTTGAAGGACGGCGGTGCCGTGAGTTAAAACCTAGACAAGAACTGTGATTTTCTTCCTCTCAGCCTGCACTGCTCCAGCCCCACACACACACGGTGAGGTTTTTACACACACACACACAAGGCTGCAGCTGGAGCCGTGTTTTTACAGAGAGGTGATAGCAGCAAATATCTCTGGCTGCTTATTTTCAACTGCTATGTTTGGCCACTAAGACCCTCAAAATCCGGCGATTTGTCCAGTACAAATCTTTTGCATTGCTTTCTATTCACACAGAAGCTCCACCTCACTGATGCCCTTTCTTTAAGGTCTCTTTAAACATGAGCTGTGCATGCTTGTATGGCACTTCCGTCCCTAATCAGCATACACAGAGGAAGCCAGCCAGGACTGAGTCCCCAGACACTGATTCCCTAGGTTTAACTATCCCCAAATGTTCATTAACCAAAAGGAAACGCAGCCGATCAGTTTCACAGGTAATTTTAGGATACCGTCAATCACAGATTCTGGTAAGGCAATGTCCAAATGTGGATTTGAAATTACACTTACCAGTTCTGAAGATCTGTTGGTACCCTGCCGACAACGCCAATTTGTAGAGGAAACTTCTGTGTAGCATGCAGTGGAGTCACCGACTCAGGAAGGAGACACGGGAAGAGTCGGAGCTTTGATGTCAAACCACTGTGATTTATTTGGAGTTGGTACCAGAGTATTCACATCACAAATCCAAGAGTCAGAGGTTCTGACTCCACGGTAGAGTTGCCACGTCAATTCTGGAGAGCCTCTCTCTTGCCAGCCCATCTAACTGGTTTCGCAGAGAGTAAACAACATATTTGAGGAGATAGCCTAAACAGTGTGGGAACACAGAGCTACTTGCCTCGGACACTTATGACCTCGAAGATTTTACCTTGGAGTCCACAAATACAGAGAAGGAAGTGTCCCAGTGTACCCACAACACAGACCATCTGTATCCCAGTATTGACCGGTCACAGAATGGGAACAATAACATTATTGGCTAAGCCGCCTGTGTCCTTAAAGAAGGTAAACAGACATCGAGGTTTGTCCTGTATGTTACTAATTGGCGTCTTATGATAATTATTTCCATAACAATACTAACACTGAAGTTCTGCCACTGTCTGTGTTTAAGTGGATGTCATTAAAGACCTTTACAAGAGCAGTCTCAGTGCTGTGGTTTGGACGAAAGCCTGACTGGAACACATCAAAACAGTTATTTAAATGAAAGAAATTACTCAACAGTTGAAAAACAACTTTTTCAATGATTTTACCTAGAAATGGGAGGTTTGATATGGGCCTGTAATTGTTCATTACTGAAGCATCTAGATTATTCTTTTTTAAGAGCGGTTTAATGACTGCAGTTTTCAGGGCCTGTGGAAAAATACCCGAGTGAAGAGATTTGTTTACTATATGAAGTAGATCTGAGGCCATGCAAGGCAAAACATCTTTGAAAAATCCTGTTGGAATAATTCAGGTTTTTGGAGTTTTTTTCTAGCTCTATCCCTGATCATTTTCAGAACCTGAAGGCTCTATGCGGACTATCTTCTGGTTCTCCTCTGGATCCATCCACTATCTCTTGTCTCTGTCCAGTGAATTACACTTTTGTTACTGGAGCAGGTAAAGCATACAACAGATACTTTCAGCATTATCGGAGCACGAAGTGGAAGCTTGGATGAAACACAGCGGACTTCTAAACAATGAACACCCGAAACTTGGAAGAAATACAGTTTTATGCATTCTAATATTGCAATGCAAACCCATGATGTAACGACAGTCAAGAATAATTGAGTCATTGAATGCTCATTTCAGTCGATTTAATCAAACAAAACGTAGACATATTGGACATGGCCTCAAGACTGTAACCTCTAAACATTATGTTGAAATAGTCAATTACTAGCCTTATCTCAAACATTGCTGTTTTGAATCTCTAATATATGGATGACAGTTGAACTGCATGATGTAACATGTATGCCATCTGCTGGAAAGAAGACGTATCGCTCTGTTGGCGTTGTTTAGACAACAAAAACAGAGTGAAGCTCTCATTTCATAAACAATCTTTGAGTACAGACACCGTCCTGCAGAGAGCACACAGCCCAACAGCACGTTGTTGGTCTAGCATCACTTTACAAAACGTTAGCATTAAGACACTAAGACTAGCTGGTCCCTTGTAAAG